TTGCATTTGTCCAGGTTAAATAGCATTTGCCAGTCCTAATTAAAGTACATTATTCATTGTAGATAAACATGAAGGTAGCAGTTCGCTGCAGACGACTGATCGGCACGGAGGAAGAAGAACAACAACAAACCTTCGTGCCAAACGAGCAAAAGGTGTCTCTTGATGTTCCTTCCTAATGTTCCCCTTGATGTTCTGATGTTCCTAGAAGGGACCTTCTTGATGTTGAATTGTTGTGAAACATTGTACCACATCTTGTGACAAATAACATGCTTTTTGACTTGAGGTTTCGCTCCTTAGTTAGTATTTAATTGTGTTTGTCACTGTCAGTTAACAATGGAAAAATTCAAATATTTTCTATTTCAACACATCAGGTCGAATTTGATCACGTTTTTGGGAAAGACGTCGGCCAGAAAGAAGTTTATGACAGTGCCGTCAAAAAACTAATAGCTGGCTTGTTTAAAGGTAAATTTATATGCAATTAATATCACTTCAGTATTCTCAATCATGTGTGATGGTGCTGGCTTGTGTGAAAAACATGCTGGGTACATTATATTATATTGTAAGCGGGTAAATCCCACACGCAAACGAAAGTCATGGCGATGCGGGGAAGCAATCGGTGTCAGGGGAATGCATAAAACAGAAATGGGGGAGTCAGCGGCGGGACGGAGATCAAAGAGAGCCGTGACTCGAGATGGCACCGCCGAGCTGGAAGCCCGGTCATGAATCCCCGAATCCTTGCGGATTGTGACAGGGGGCCGCAGAGGTGCTGACCTGTAGATGACTGTGCTGCCACCATGGCCAGAATCGGACTATGGATCCGAGCCAAGAGGAAATACGCACCCCTACCTTATTCGGTAGTGTAATATAGCAGTTGCAATACTCACCTCACCTTATTTAGTACGGCCGGTTGGCCAGAAAGGGAGCTAAAACGAGAGGTGACGTAGGGGCGGGAACGCCGTATAAATAGTGGAAGCCGCCGCTTCTCGGGGCTCTTTGTACAAGACACCCGCTGAGAAAGGTAAGTGCGTGATACGGGTATCATGTAGTAGAAACGGTCTTTTTTTCGGCAGTACACTTTATGTATTGTATTAGAGATTTAGTAAAACACTAGTGAACTTTACTCTATGTTATGTATTTCGTGTTCTTGAGACATTCGAATACAGATTCCAACGACTGTCTTGATTGTTACATATTATATTGTTCAAATGAACTTAAATCACACAGACGCTGTTAAAGGACGCTGTTATAGTCCCGCCCTTTTGGGCGTACAAAGAATAAACATTATTTTAACGTTTTGCAGTTATCTTACACTCTTGACTTGAATTGTCTTATGTCTCTATCAGTCTAGTACAGACCTTCTACTACGGTAGTGCGAATAACACGTCTACAATATGCATATCTTAATGTGAATAATTTCTGAATTTCAGGCTATAATGCCACAGTTTTGGCATATGGCCAAACTGGCAGTGGCAAAACATACACACTTGGAAGTCAACTGCAAAACGTGGAGGAAGCACGGCAAGGCATATTACCTCGTGCAGTTAGAGATATTTTTGATAAAATATCTGAAAATATACTGAATATATAAAATATACTGAAGAGGACGGTTACAGCCCTAGCTGGCACTGACAAAAACGATAATCGTTTACAATCACTGATGCTGGCGGTCAGGCAAACAGTACTCTGTCTGGTACTGACAGTGAAAGTGATGCACGTTCATCGTCAGTGTCTGAAACTGGTGATGTATATGAAGATATGTCGTTTACAACCACTGATGCTGGTCAGGCAAACAATCCTCTATCTTGTAATGACAGTGATTCTGATGCAGGGTCTAGTCTAAATGATAAGTTGGCAACATGGGATACAAAGTATAAAATCACTCATACTGCTCTCTCCGCACTCTTGGTCATCCTTCAGGTATTTCATTCAAGTCTACCAAAGGATCCCCGAACACTTCTTAAAACTAAAGTGGTCTCCAATGTTAAAGAAATTGCTGGTGGTTCATACTATCATTTCGGAATTTTATCTGGTGTCTTGTCTAGGTTGGCAGTGGACTCTAGTTTAAAACCATTCGAGTGTCTTACGCTGCAGATAAACGTTGATGGTCTTCCAATATTCAAATCTTCTAACTTACAGTTCTGGCCAATATTGTGTATGCTAAATCAGTCTCCATTAAAAGAACCCTTTATTGTTGGTCTTTTTTGTGGTACAACCAAGCCTAAGAACCTTAGCGAATATCTTGCAGATTTTGTTGATGAGATGAAACGTCTTAATGGGTGTGGGATAGAATATTTAGGCAGGACTTATCAGATTAAAATGTCTTCATTTATTTGTGATACTCCAGCACGTGCCTTTATCAAGAACACCAAGAATCATAATGGTTATTACGGGTGTGATAAATGTTCCCAGCCAGGTGTCTATGTCTCTAACAGAATGACATATCCAGTCATCGATCCTCCACTCAGAACCAATGTACAGTTTAATGCGATGCAAAATGAAGACCATCACAGAGGTCCATCACCTTTAGCAGAATTGTCATTGGGAATGGTTAGTCAGTTTCCTATAGATTATATGCATGCTGTATGCTTAGGTGTCATGCGTCGTCTACTTATGTTTTGGATCAAAGGCCCTCTGATATGTAGAATTGGAACCCATAGTGTTAAAATGATATCAAGCTCACTTTGTTCAATGAGGGACAGAATTCCTAGAGAATTTGCTCGAAAACCAAGGTCTCTTAACGAAATTGAACGATGGAAGGCGACCGAGTTTCGACAGTTTTTGTTGTATACAGACAGGTCCAGTGGTTTTAATGGGACGATTGTCTGATAACGTATACAAACATTTCCTCCTATTATATGTTGGAATCTACCTACTTGCAAGTCCCTCACACTCTATAGATTATTGTGATTTTGCTCATCAGATACTTCTTATGTTTGTACAGAGTTATGGAAGTTTGTATGGCAAGGAAATGATAGGGTATAATGTACATAGCCTGGTGCATTTAGCAGAAGATGTCAGAATGTTTGGGGCCCTTGACAACTTCTCCTCATTTCCGTTTGAAAATTTTTTGGGAAGCGTTAAGAGAATGGCTCGAAAACCATCCTCTCCACTTCAGCAGATCATTCGGCGAATTTCAGAACAGCAGATAGTAGAACCACATTTAGAACCAAAGAGAGGCGTTGGCGTATACAAGGAACATTTCAATGGGCCAGTTCCATCTAACCTTCGAGTTTCATCGCAGTATAAAGAAGCATATCTTACTAATTTCTATATTTCACTACGTCCAAGTGATAATTGTGTCAGGGTCGGTGAGAGTTTGGTTCTGATTAAGAATATTGTGTCTTATAACTCCACAAAGTTCATAGTATTTAATAGGTATTGCACTGATCACAGTTTTTTTGAGTATCCGCTTGACTCAAAACTATTAGATATACATTTGGTTTCTCATCTCAATGCAAAACAAAAATCTACTGCGGTCATAAACATTAGACAGAAATATGTACTGTTGCCGTATAAGGAATCCTATGTAGCGATACCCCTTCTTCATAGTTTACAACAATCTTTGTAATTACTTGTAGTTACCACCAGCAGTGACTATAGTTGAGCCTTTTCACCTACCATGCGCTCTCACTATCTCTGTCTCGCGCACTCTCTCTATATTTTTCTCTTTTCCACTCTATCTATCACCTACGTCTCACTTTCTCGGGATAATGCCATGTTAATAATATAAGGCTCTGCACCATACTAGTCCCCTAACTACGTGTGTGATCAATAACTATAATGCCACACTTGTAAAATACAACACTCCTATCAATTATCTCTCTCTCTCTTATTATTTAATGCATCTTGTAGTTTAAGATTAGGCAATTAAGATTTAACAATAATATTAATAATAATAATTTCTACCGGTATGAGATGGGACTAAACTGATCTGAGTTTTTTGTGTGGAATTTTAGCATCGATCTTGATCATTGCTTGATCATTGCATAATCGAATGATCATTGCTTGATCATTGATTATGTGATCATCGATCTTTTTCACTCTTTCTTCACCTACGTCTCGCTCTCTCGTGCCATCGGGTGTCTGGTGAATAGGTGCCCCCCTAACGTCTGGGCATCAGAAATGCACCACTGTAAATACTTTAAACACTGCCTTTTTTCACTAATCTCTCACTGTGCTTGGATTAAATTTACATGCTACATTGCTATTTTTGAATTATGGCAAATTAATGATTTAACAATGAATATTAATAATGTAATTATTGTCTACAAGAATGAAATAGAGCGGATCTAAACTGTCATCTGAGAGTTTTTGTTTTGGCGAATTTTAGCATGTATAGTGATCTCTATCTTTTCAACTCTCTCTTCGCCTACGCCTCCGCTCTCTGCGGGAGCCATGTGCTGGAGGTACTGGAAGAAGGTGTCCCCCTAACTCTGCGGGCATCAAAATGCGACCGATCTGATGAGTACTTTTATAAAACATTATGTAATACTATAATCATATCTCTCTCGATATCTAACTCTCGAGCGTATCTGCGTGTGTCGATCGTTCATCGATATGTCTCGATAGTGGTCCGCGGTGGTCCCATGATCTCGGAAGTATGGTCGAATCTAGAGATGCTCGATATGTACTCTGTCTCGTGTCTCTGTCTCTGGTCTTACTGTCTATGTCCCTAGTCCTGTCCCCTGTCCCCTGTCCCCTGAGTCCCTGTGCCCCTGTCCCTGTCCCTTCCCTGTCCCTGTCCGCTGTCCACTGTCGCCATGTCCCTGCATGCCCGCGAGTGTCACCGAAAATAAAGAGAGGATGTCGCAGAGGTGTCATTGTCCCTGTCCCTGTCCTTCTCTGTCTCTGTCTCTGTCTTGGCTGTCTCTTGTCCCTGTCTCTCTCTCTCTCTCTACGATCTCTTCTTCTGTCGGTTTTCGTCTCAATTCTTTGAGCAGTGTATTTTATTTGAATCTAATTAGAGCTAATTAAGAGTTATAATCAGATGAATAAATAATAATAATTTCTACCGATATGAGATGGGACTAATCTGATCTTGTTTTTTTGGAATTTTAGCATGTATGTGATAATTGAATTCACGGAAACGGGAGAGGTGGAGGCTGTGCCAGACACTTGGTTAAGAGACGATAGCGTGCTATGGCCACCACACTCCAGCGGGACGATTCAAAATCTTATTAAGAATCGCGGTGCCCCAAAAGAGTGTTGGAATACGTACGAAATACGTCAACTAACCACTGCAAGTAAGTCACTTGAAAATAATGAAATGGTTGCCTGTAACTGTTAAATTCATGTGTTTTCGATACTATATTCGTGTATTTTACAAGCTTTTATCATAAACTTGTCATATTGGGAGCATAAAAATCCTTTGTACACTGCCTGTTATTTGCACTAATACGAAATGACTGCCACAGAAAGTTGCGAGCAATGTCTAAATGCTAAATGTCGAATTGGTATTAGGTCACCTCAAACTGCAACAATTTTAAACCGTATATTTACATAATTCATCAGGTCATTATGAGAAGGCAAGACAAAGGCTACGAAAGGCAGAATATACATCCGACCTGCAGTCCGACGAGGACAATGGTACGCAGAAAAGAAAGAAAAGGTAAGCAGCATTTATTATATGTTTCTGTAATAATGATTCAGTATTGTTAAATTTTCCAATATTGATTTGGTCTAACTGTGGATGTGTTGAAAATTTGTATTAATGATGATTAATTGTTCATTGTACAGTTCAAATAGCCGTATATCTAGAGTATTTTACACAAATAACATGCTGTCTCACTACTTTATAGGCCTACTTTAAGGTACATAGAGGAATCAGATAGTGATCGAGCTGGAGGTTTCCCCCACACCAAAAAAGAAAACGATGGAGAGAGGTTCGAATTCTCTGCCGCCGCTGCCACCAACACCACCAACAATGCTGCAGAAGAGCATGCCTGTGGCTGAACGGACAACACCGCAGGCACGTCAGAGCAGGACTGCTCAGGAAACATTCAAAGTCTATGTAGTAAAATTATAAGCAGCACCTGATTGGTTCAGGACCTGATAACTGTCTCCACAATTAAAGTTGAGGATACTAAATTTCCTCTAGGGTATTATGGTGCCGAATATTCTTAACATATATTTATTACGACTAGGCCTACTATTATATCAGGTTTGTACTAACTGAGAAATGTCACTGAGCAGGGGCTATAGGGATGCTATTAAAATCTACTCAGCCATTAACAATATTTACCAGTCCTAATTCTCTGCCAGTGCTGCTAATGATGAAGTACGCGGAGAACCGTTAGCCTGTCATGGGGGTATGGGTGGCTTGTGTGGCGGGGGGGGTGAGTTCTTTGAATCATGCTTGATATTCATTCTTAAATCTGAGACTTGCTATTATATTACAATTTGTATATTATCCAGTTTGATATGGAAAAAACATCGTATATAATTTGGCACTGATGAGAGGCCAAAGAAGCCAGGCTGTGTACTACTGACACTCGCGAAAAATGCTGGCAGTCAAGACATTTACTAGCTTGAATGAGTGGAGCTGGACGCAATGTAAATATAGTTTCAAGCCCCTGCTTATACGCCTTAAGTTACTGCGCGGAAAATTATGCGTGATTGTTCCAGTATTTAGCGTGAGCGGGAACAAAGCTAATCCGGATGATGGAGCGGAGGTGCGCGAGATATTGGCACAGACCAGCATTCCTCGCATGCTTTTAAAATCAATCCTGCAGCAGAGAGGATTGGAGCAGACCACCTTGCCGATGGACTCACCCTCCCTAGCAAGAATGAGGACAGTCGACACCCTAGAGCTCTTGCTAGAGGCATAGCAATATGTGGAGGAACGTCAATTGCGTACTGGATGTATCCCTTTCATGTGAAAAGTGTCACTTTTCTTGAAACAAGGGCTTGTGATTAGAGAATTATGTGTAAATTCAGCCATCTACTGTGGGTTGTAGGTTATTTTCTCAAAATAACAAACCTAAAAAATAAATCTGATATTGATTATCTGTATTCAGTTATTAGATCGATTATGTATCAATTAATTATTAATAGATATTCTGATAGTTAATCTATAAATGTGTTAGGAGTTTACTATTTACTATCCCATGCATTTAAATTTAGATTGCGTATCTCCCATGTTACTGGGGCAGGGTTCGACAGAAGCAGAATGCGTCGCGCCTTCCTGCGAAGCCTGCTGCTCAGGAACTTAGCCTCGCCACGCCTTCATTCTGCAGGGGAGGAATAAGAGAGGCTTCAAAAATCTTGAAGCTGGCCACAATATCTATCAGTCGCTGCACTAAATTACATTGTTTCATATAATCATGATATGACCAAAGCATGTGTTTTCACTTTTAAAAGACCGTTTCAAGCCGTTTTGTTTAGTAATCTCAATCTTGGTAGTTTATTGACCAAATCGGACATATTTTCCACCATATTTTAATTTATGATTGCCAATTAAATCATGTTTTTTGATTTTAGAATGTGTCAAAAGAAACCCCCTAACCCAAACGGCCACTATTGCGGACATTGAGTCGGTCGTGAAGAAGTGGCTTAAGTATGCTGCCGACCGTGACGGAGGAAGCAGCGGAGTGTGGCAGCTGAGATGGAAGAAGTAAGTAAGCTTTAATTTTTCGCCAATGTCAGTCGTAAGCAGTTCTCAATGGTCGATTCATTTCTAATTATTATTTGTCTCGTTTCGCAATGCCATATTCGCTTCACAGCATCCAGGTAACTCCCTGTAACTTGCGCTGCTACTGCCTCAATCGACTTGCCTATAATCTTTACAGATATCTCACGTATATTTCCTCAACACTCGTCTTGCACATGTATTAACATTCATAATATTTAATCAATGCTAATAATGCTTTGATCCAGATTTTAGTGTTAAAAACCCTTACACAATAATTACCTATGCGGCAGGAAATATTGCACTGTTCAATTTTAGTTTCTCTTCACTGTTCTCTCTTCTCTTTCATTACATGTAAATCTACCATTACAAACGTTTGATACCTTGCGTTGTGCATGCCAATATAACTAACTTCATATATGGACAGTTAATTTTCTTCTTGATATGTCGCGATACCTACACGAAGCAATCCACACCATAGCCTCTGCAGGACTCTATATTGATGTGTTGTTTTTCAGAATCTATTTGCAGTTCTCAGATAGGCCGATTGCCTCGACTCACACGCCCTAAGTGCATGCACCACCCAGGCATGGTTAGTTAGTGCCATGCGAGCATGCATCAGTATATTTCCCACGACAAACATCACATGATTATATAACGGTGGCAAGGATAGTTATAATATATATTATTATACATTGTTGTGGGGTGGTGTTATATTATATATACTTTACCACCTTATATCATAACAGTGTTTTGTTGTAATTATTTCCGGGATATATGACTTCACTGTAAATTCTATAAAAAAGAACTTTGCTTACCTTGTTACCTTGTTAACAGTTGTGCAGTATATTATTATAAATATGCGGAAAAGCTTGAATACAGTGTCACTATTGATATTTTTTGTTTAACCCTCCAGTGGCTGAATGCATGTTTCGATTTTCGTGACTATATAACTAACTTGCAGTTGTGATGTATTTTCTAAATATGCGGAAAAGCTAAACTACAGCTGTCACTAATTGTATATTTTTGTTTAACTCCGTGACTGAATGATGTTTCGATTTTCGCGTATATAAAATAACTTCAGTTGTTGATGTATTCTAAATATGCGGAAAAAGCTAACTACAGTGTCCACTAATTGTATATTTTTTGTTTAACCTCCATGGCAGTGCTGAATGATGTTCGATTTCGCGATATAGAAAATAACTTCAGTTGGTGATGCTATTTCTAAATATGCGTGCGAAAAAGCTAACTACAGTGCTCAGTATATAACTTGTATATTTATGTTTAACCTCCAGTGCTGCAATGATGCTTTCGATTTCGCGATATCAAAAATAACTTTCAGTTGTGATGTAGTTGCTAATGTGAGGAAACCTATTTCAACGCTATAACTACGAAGTCGCTAAATTTATATTATGCATGTAGTACCAGCATTTATTGCCCCACCATGCGTTGATTGACAGCTACTTTTAGCTGTTTTATATATATTACTATATATATATGTGTGGTTGGTATATATTAGTATATGTATATACAGCAAAAGTGCTGGTCAATCAACCTATGGCCACCACAAAAAAAAAAGCTTGTCATTTGAAAATTTGCAGAATTTCACCTCAGGTATGCCACCAGAAAGCATCGCTCTGCATTTCAGTGTAATATTTGCCAAATCTCCAATCTCGTGCTGGCAGGAGGGAACCCCCCTCCCACACCTCCTCCTGCTCGGTCGCTTCGCCGCTTCACAAATTGCCAAATTTAAAATAGAACCCCCAATATAAAGCTTCTGGCCTACGGCCGGTAGTATTAATATATCATATATATCTGTCGGCGTTCTGATTAAAACCTCGTATCATCCGACTTTCCTTCAAAATCGTTTTTTGGCACACTGCTACCTGAGATCCCTCCATGTTCTGATCAAACCCTCATAAGTGGCTAGCAACGCAAAATATCCAAACGATCACGCTGGAAATAAATCTACTCCATTGCTCAAATTCGTGTTCTCGAGTAAAATACTCGTACCATTACCGTAGTGTTCTTATAAACACCTCCGTAACTCCTCCGCTGGACCGCGTTATGTGGCGCGCACATTGGAAGCTTTGCCTGCCACACGTGTTTTTTTCTTTTTTGATCCGTTTTGTGTTGCGTTTGATCACAAGCGTAAAGCATAGATCTATCTATCGGTTTGCTTATGTATTATGTATATTTCTATAAACTCTGATCTGATGCATGTAAGCACTATAAGGTAATATGTAGTTCTGTGTTTGTTAATGCGACCTTAGGAGGTTTTATCAGACAAATACAACTAAATAAACATTAAACATAGGTTACATACTGTTCTATTATATTTGTTCATCTAACACTTAAGTCATTGTTGCCGTCGCGTAGATCTCTATAATTATGTCAATTTTAATTCTGAAATTGTAAATAAGTTATAGCTCTGTTTGTTACAGTTAGCATTTTATCGTTGGGCTATAGCCCCAGAGCCGCACAAATACTGCAACTCGAGCAGGCACGCCACCAAATCACAAAGCCACATGATGGTAATAACTTTACTGTACAACTCAGAACTTCGAAGATGGAATATGAAATGGATGTTTTAATTAAAATAGAAGGTCATCCCAAGTAAAGTGAATAAGGTGTGATGGTCCAGCACGGCCATTTATATATATAAGTGAATAATGTGCTCTGAATTGGTGTCTTAGCCTATTTCGTTCAGTTCTTTTGTTTAGTCGACATTTAATTCTTCTTTGCATCACATAGAAACTATGCCTTAAAACGCGTTACACATTTAGCGCAATGCTAAAAATGCAAAGTACGGTTATCAATGTGATTGGCTATTACAATGTACGGCCATATTAGCCCTAATATTTATGAGATAAGCAGCCGAGGGTGCACTAGCACCTATCCTGTGCGGTACATCAATACGCGGATTCGTTTGGGATACATTTCAAGCTGGAGTAAAATGTTTGATCAATATTTGACAAGACCTTATTTATTGCAATATGGTCTAGAATTTGGGTTCCGATGTAATTCCAATTGCCTCAAATCTAATAAAATAATTTGCAAATCAGGCATGCTGTACACATTAAACATTATTAGCAGCTCATATATGCCATTATATGCCTTCAAGAAACATGGAGTTTTCTGTTTTAATGGCAAACAAATCCGAAAAATTTATTTCAGTAAATTGTCTTTTTCAGTTGCGACCAGACTGTCTCTGTGTCCCTTCTACACATGTTGCGAGAGCGACGCCGTGCAAAGCGATCTGTCAACAACTTGCCATCTACGCGTCGTTAATGGGTCCAAGTCGTGTTGTTGATAATTATGCTATCACCGGGTACCTGTCATTGATCGAGCACATTTAGAC